GAATCTTAGTTTGTATTCTGCAGAAGGCAGGACCAAAACCAGTAATTTAAATTAACAAGGTCAGATATTAAGCAGAATTTCCCAACTGTATGACATGCAAAGCAATGGAACATACTGCCACATGTAGTGGTGAGTTCTCTTTTGCTCTTGTGAAAAACAGAAGCTAGATAATCCTCTGTTAGAGAGGGCTTAGTGGATAATACTGCTACTAATAATTGCGTACATCTCAGAACATTATTTATATATGTCCCTAGAGAGCAGACAAGTTATAAACATCTTTAAGTGGCACCAGTCATAGATTAATGGCTGTTTTTGAATGAATATTTGAGTCTCTTTTGGTATATTTTACTCAGAGTGTTTTTTTATTCAAAAGGTACTGGTAGTCACCCCTATATAGGGTCTCCTGCTTGAGCAGAGGGCTGGACTAGAAGACCTCCATGGTTTCTATTCTATTCTATTCTATTCTATTCTATTCTATTCTATTCTATTCTATTCTATTCTATTCTATTCTATTCTATTCTATTCTATTCTATTCTATTCTTATTCTTTCTCTGTTTAAGGACTGGGTATATTTTAAAACAGATTTTAATAATGATTCAATCTGTTTTTAGATAATTATCTAGTCCTAAATGTTAAAATTTCACATATATTTACCACTGAGCAAGAAAGGTAAAGTTAAATAAATTTTAATTGTAACTAATAGCAAGCATGGAAAACTGCTGGATTAGGATTGAGCAATCAATCAGCTCAGATATAAAACTTACTAGAAAACTGTAGGCAGGACACATTTCTCAACCTTTAGGCTTGTAATGCAGAAAATATCATGGGGATGTTCATGCTGGCATAAATACCTTGGATGAAAACTACACATTCATTTAAAACCAAATCAGATTTACAGAAATTCCAGTATCTATAAGTTGTCCTAATATTAAACTTTGCCAGATTAATCCTGCCCAAGGTCAATAGCCATCTTGCAATTTCTTACCTTTCATCCAGCATTTTCTTCCTTACATTTCCTAACTTTGGACAGATAATGCCTTACTGTATTTTTCCTCTTGCTGAAATGTTCTCTTGCAATGCACACAAAGCATCTTCTCAGATACCTTCAGTCCATTAAAATATCTAAAACATCACAAATTGTGAGTTTGGGCATGAAGCCAGATCGATGACTTTGGATCAGTCCCTCCTGCTCAACCCCCAAAAAGAAGAAGGCAAGGACGACCCATTTCTGAAATTCTTCTAAGGACAATAGTCAAAACTCATTTGAAGACATAAACAAACCTACCCATCCCTCACCATGTATGCCTTACAGCAGGGGTGTCAAACTCAATTTCATTGAGGGCCACATGAGCATTGCCCTCGGGGGGGCGGGGTGTGTGGCCAGGGTGGGTGCGGCACTACTGGGTGGATGTGGATGGAGTGGGTGTGGCCTACTGGGTGGGCATGGCCAGCTCTACATTGTTTGTATCAAGAGTGCTTATGGGGGCCTGGGCAGGAGTGGGACAGATCTGAGGGTCTCTGGCAGAACGGGGTGGAACCGGAGCAAGCGCCAAGGCATGGTCCATTTCTTCATTACTCACAAAGGGTGACACCTCCCCAGCATGCACCCAGGGGGTGGGGCCGACACAGCAGGGGCTGGTTCCTCGCTATTTCCAGACGGCCTTGTGGAGCTAAGACTGAATGCATTTCAGCATAGATGGCCACCAAAAATTGTACATTGGCTCCCAGCCAGCCTGGGCCAGGGCCAAGGCAGCGGGGGCCATTCCCTCACTGTTTCCAGGATGGCTTCGCGGGCCACATGGAACCACTTCGTGGGCCGCATCCGGCCCCCGGGCCTTGTGTTTGACATATCTGCCTTACAGGTTTTGAATTATACTTTTGATTTTTTGGCAAAGATTTGATGGGTTAGTTTATTTTACATACAAATTGCACCAATTTTATATCTCACTGAATGCCTGATACTAAGATTTGGAATATAACAGATTATAATTGTCATTTTATCTAACAATTTCTTACTCCAGACAGTTTTAGGTGAATGTGTTGTTCCTTTTTATGATAGCAGCAGGCAAAATCAAGTATTTTTCATAAGCTTCATGACTCTCCTCTGAAGTTTATGGAAACTTTATAGAAATCTCAATGTGGGCTGCTTCTAATTTGCTATATAATTCACATTCAGTTTTCCTCCCCCAGTTCACAGAATTAGGCAAGCCATAAAGTTTTGGAGAAAGAGATGTTAGGGTGGCATTGCTATACTAGACTGTTCAAAAGAGAAAAATTAATATGTTTTTAAAAGGAAAACTTCAGAAAAGACTTCTGTCCTTTTTCGGCTGTTTAATATCTTCATATTATTTTGTGATTCGTTCAGAATCTTTCCTCTGCATTTTGATTTTTACTGCTATAAGCATGGGTGAGAAAACATGCAACAGTACTGCCTCTACCTAAGGCTTGGGATAGTTAGTTGCCATTCGCAATGCATCTTGTTGTCATAAAAATGTTTTTGCTATATATTTTATTTTCTTTTTGTTACCAAGCCTTAAAAATATACTGGGTAAGAGAGACACGATTAAGGGAACAATTCCTGTTTTTTTCTGAACCATACCACAGATATGATTGAGATTTTTTTTTCCCCCTCTGAAAGAGTAAATATAGCCTTTTGCTTGCTTGGAGGAATTACAGAATTTTAGCAACAAAGTTTTTGTTTTTAGAAGGAAACATAAAAAGGAGAAAAATGGAATAAATAAAGTGACAAGTTATCCAGTGAAGGAAAACAGAGTGTAGTATTAGTAATATCAACAAAACTTTATCAGAATTTCTCAGCAAAGGTATTGAAATAGGTAGCCAGTGTGAACAGGAAAGGATCGAGATATTCTGCAAGTTTTGGTGTATCTGTTGGATTTGTGTATTTTTTAATTCTCAGTCCCATTGTACAACTAGAGAAAAAAAAAAGGGGGGGGGGGGAAGTCAAAGGAAAAAAAATCCATCCTTGAACCACAGCCTGCAGATTTGCGGAGCAAAAACAATGAAAAAAAAACAAACAATGAACCAAAAAACATTATAGCAGCAAAACCAGAAGAATCTGCAAGTATGGGCAGAGGCAAAAGACATAAAAAATTTTTCCTCTTTTCCTTTTGCATAGAATTGTTTGTCTTTCAATTTTTCCAGTTTTTCATTCCCTGCATGATTAATTTTTTATATTATCTTAACGAGATGAAGTAGCAAATCACTTTTGGGAGATGTCGGATGTTTTGGGGCAAAAAGCCTTAACAGGTTGGGCTGTCCCCACAGATTCTGAATTTGTGCTGTGCTTTATTGAACACCGGGTTTTGTTGTCAGTGAGCACAATGAGATTCAAGCAGTACAGACAATGCATTCCTTATTTACACGATGAGGTGAGCCTGTTTCAACCACTAGCATGATAAAAGATGTAGAATGGGCTTATATACAAGAGGAATAGCCTTCACATTACACACATCATCTTTCTACAAAGCAGTAATTCCCCCCCCCCCGATAAATAATAAAATATTAAATAATTGATCGTTTTATCCCCACTTCCTGCATAGTCCATTCCAATGGAATCTATATGACTAACATTGTTTTTTTTGTATAATATCATCGCATAAATCCCCATCTCGGTTCCTAATTGTAACTTTGCTTTACAATGAAATCTTTAACTGGAATTCAAAACAACCAGGGTCCAACACAGAAATTCCTTGGCAAATTTGGGGGAGTTTATGAAAATGATAATAATATTTATGATATTAGAAGGATTGGAGTATATTACAATGTGTTTAGTGTTTGGGTGGGGTTTTTAATGTTTAAAGTTTTAAGTAATGTTTAGATTTGTGTTTTTGATTGACTATAATTTGTTTGTTCTAATGTCTCAAGTTCTGATTGTTTAAATTTGTGTTTCGGAGGGACTATAACTTGTTTAACTAAATGTATTTGGATTTGCTTATGATTTATGCTAGACTTTATATTGTAGTTATAGATGTTTAAAGAAAGCAGTGCTTAAAATTGTGTCTTGGAAGAAACTTATGTAGAAGGATGGATAATATTATAAGTAAGATTAGAAGATTTTTAGAGTATATTATAATGTGTTTATTATTATTTTCTAGAAATAATTCATTTAATTTAAGGTTACTTAGGATTGTTTAGGATTTATAGGTGTCTTAAGTTTTATATGTGTTTTAAGTTCTTTTTCTTTTTTTTCTTTTGAAACATTTTGGATAAGCCTGTAATCAACTCTGGGAGGTTCAGGGGAGGGTTAGGGAGGTTTGGGGAGTTGGGGGAGGGTATGGGTGGGTGGGCGGGTTTGGGGAGGGGATTTATTTTGTAAAATGTTAAAAATTCTCAATAAAAAAAAAAAAAAAAGAAATTCTTTGGCAAATGTAATGCACACATTCGCAGATGGCTTTTGAGGAAAGCTGGTAGATAGACCAAGGCACAACCTGGGCCTTTGCATAGGATGTTCCAAATTCATCTGCTTACTCTTCTAGTGATCATGCCAACATGCAACAGTACTTGTGTAATGTTATCTGTGTCAATGGCCTGAAATTAAGCCAAAGGTTATAAACAATTACCACATTCACCTTTTTTCTATCAATATTTTTTTTAAAAAAATGAATATCAGATCAGATTATTCCAGTTACTCATTCCTTAATGATTTCCTGGGTTAGAGGTTTTTAAAAGATGTGATTATCCTTTCATTTTGGCATAATCAAGTTGAGGGAATACATGAATAATCTTCAGAGATATGTTGGAACCTAACTGGTTTTTAGAAAGGCTCAAATAGCTATTGCCAATTGTTTGGGAATCCATATATCATGTATGGGTAATTTTAAATATTACAATAACCAGTGTACTAACTATGTACGTTAACGATAATTGATTTTTGTTGCCCTAAATCTTAAAATTAATTTGGGATAAGATGCTTAAAGGTGTAATTGAAATGATTTTTGATTGCACATTTTAGTAGGCTGTAGAAGATATAAAAGAACAAGTGCGTTTCCAGATCTTTTAATTTGGGGCTATGAATAAAAATTCTTTTATTATTATTGTTTTTTTTTTAAAAAACACAGCCTAAAATGTAGATGATTTTTGTGATCCAACAATATCAACACATTTCAATGGTATTATGGAGAACAACAAAGAGTTTCTGGCTCATGGCAATGGTCATTTTTGATCATCTTACGGAAAGGCGCTATAAAGCCAAATACAACCATTTCTTATATCCACCCAATATTGACAATTCGTTGATTTGCAAAACCTCCTGCTTTAAGTCTGCTCGAAAGTGGATCAAGTGCCTCTTGATGAAGTCAAGATGTACCAAACGGGAGGCAGCAAGTATATCTAGTTCTCTATGAACACTTGTTCCTCTTTTACCTCAAAACCTCCTAAAGAGAAGACCTTGCTTCTCTACAGAGGGTTTAACATTAGATGTACACAAGATACATATGAGCATGTTATGCTCCCTACAATCTTTTAGGTAAATTATATCTCCTTTCTTCTCCAGATCCAACAGAACATCTTTACTAGTGGAAAAGAGAAGTAATAATTCTCTCTCTTTGCTTAGGAGGAGGAAGGGAAAATCTTGTTGAATATTTTGGGAGATAGTGCTCAAGAGTACAGGGAAGAAGGACATTGACAAAGATAACCTCTTCCCCCTTCCCTGTATAGATTAGGACATTCTAGACTGGATTATATTGAGAGACTACACTAACTTGCTGAAGGAAATGCTAGATTTTAATAAGTCTGAAATTCACCATGAGCATGCACAATGTTCCATCCATTTTTTATATGATTTACAATATTCTTACATTATGACATGAAACTTGCATAAATAAGGTATTTTAATAATGGAATATTTCATATTGTTATGGCAAGAAGAGGTAAGATAGTTGGATGCCATCATCAGGAGATGGGGAATAAAACACATCCTTTCTTCCAAGTTAGCAACTTTTTCTAGAATATTAACTGAATGAATTAAGCTAAATCCTCAAGATTCCAGATGCAACAAGGGAATTGCTGTGGTAACTCAGGAAAAAAAAAACTGATTAAAAAGTCCACTTCATTTGCATGTCATTCGCTAAGGGAGAATTACATGGGAATTAGAACACATAAGAAGAGACTTTGGGAATGAATCCTTTTGCTATAGAAGGCATCCTATGCTGTCACTTTTGTGGATGGAAATGAATTTCTTCATGATTCTCACTCTGGTAAAAGGGGAGTAGGTTTTTCTTCTCCCTCTTCTGAGGACAAGACCTTGCTAGACGTAGTCAAGTTTTCACAAATCTGAGTTTTAAAATTTCTTTTATTATGTATCTTATAACTTTTTATTTCAATAAAAGGGAAGGAAGGCAAGAAGCAGAGCAGAAGGAAGGCCATGATATTAGCACTTGAGATGCAACAGGCCCGAGCGAAGCCCTCAACAGATTTGGGCAGCCGCAAGGAATCAGACAACTTATGGTCAATTGGGGTGGGGGTGGGGAATCTTCAAATTATTTCACACAGAATAGCAGGCTTAAGAATTGGTGAGAGTATTATGATATAGCAAAAACAAACAAACAAACAAACAAAAAAAAAAAACCAAAAACCCAACCCAACAAGATAGGTAATAAGATTGATCAAGATAGGTGATAGGCCTTGTGTCTGATTTTTATATCACAAATATATTGTCTTGCAATAGATGGCAAGTTTAAAAGTGATTTTGAAATTTTAGATTTGGCATGAATTGGCAATGGCACGATCGCTTATCTGTCCATTCTCAAATCAAATTGGGACCACATTGTAAACCTGCTGCTGGTGGGTGCCCTTTCGTTCGTCATTGTAAATAAGAAAAGAAGGCATAACATTCTGGAAGTGAAATCTCTTTTTCTGTACTTCAACATTTCGTTTGCACTATATCACTTCTCGTATGTTTATTCCATCCTGATGTTTCTATAGGAGTGGCAGAAAGTGAAAGGCAGAGAACAAAATAATAATAATAATAATAATAATCTCTGTTCTAAATGGAATTATTTGGATTCATTGTCAGTTGCCCAAACTGTTAACATTCCCCAGCGAAAAGCAATATATTTTGGCTGGTAGCTAAACAAATGCATGTTACACATGGAGAATGGAACATCTTTCTGAATTGTTGCCAAATTTGTGCATTGTGCAGATGGCTGCACAAAAAAGGTGCAGGTAGTCCTCGACTTGCAACCGCAACTGAGCCCAAATTGATGTTGCTAAGTGAGAAATTTGTTAAGTGAGTTTTGCCCCACTTTACGACTTTTCTTGTTGCGTTTGTTAAGTGAATCACCGCAGTTGTCAAATTAGTGACCACTTAATTTGTTCTTAAGTGAAGCTGGCTTCCCCATTGACTTTGCTCGGGACGCTACAACCGTCATAAATATGAACCAGTTGCTGAGCATCTGAATATAAATCACATGACCACAGGAATGCTGCAAAGGTCGTAAGTGTGAAAAATGGTCATAAGTGGCTTTTTTCAGTGCCGTTGTAACTTTGAACGGTCGCTAAAGGAACTATTGTAAATCGAGGACTATCTGTACTCGCTCTCCTCTCTGCCATACATGAATATTCCTGTGTGTGCATAATAGGAAAAGAATGAAACCCAAGAAAATGTGTTGGGGTGGTATTTCAGCTTATTCTGTCATGACTTTACTTTTTTTTTTTTTTTTTTTAGAAAACTGGGGTTTTATTTATTTCCCTCCTCGATTTATAGACTTTCAGGGCAAAGCATTAAAAGCAGTTATATTTATATATCCACTTGTATCATTCTTCATTTTGACGATTGGTTGACATCACTCCATCCTTCTTTCTGACTTGAGTCTGAATACGTTTTACCGGTGTGATTGCTTGTTCACCTTCCGCTCGTAAGATTTTGACAAATACGATGGAAATGGTCAGTCTTCAAATGAGAAGAAAGCAAAACCTAATTATTTCAACCGACCTATATAGGAATGAGAGGGAATGTATCACACGAGGAAACTTTTGTGAAATACAGTGGATGATGCACAGTCTTTCCCCCTTCATTAGGCTGAGATGCACGGTTTCCTCAGGCTTCTGGAAATTTAACTGTTGGTCATTCTGAGTTCTTTTTCATAGACGATCGTTTTAGGGGGCAACAATTAATTTATAAGCAGCATTCTCCTCTGCCACTGGCTGCCCATACCCCTCTCCATTCTTTTTTCAGTTAGAGAAGACTCGTGTGGAAGAAACTGAAGAATTCACCAAGGAGAAGTCTGAAATATTGCAGTGGTATTAGCAATGGAGACAGCAGAACCACTGGCCACAAACTTGATTTTGCCCCTACCCAGTAGAGTAGCTTGGCTAGATTGCAAGGGATATGACATTTTCAATCTGGTGAGGTCAGTAAATTCTGCAATCTGAAAGAACACTGAGGAGCAGAAGGTGGAGGGAAGGGGGGTTGTTTTCTTCCAGGTGACGCAAAATGTCCATCAGACAGGTACAATATGGAGGCCTAGGCTGTCACCCTGCAGTTTCATGTGGTTTCCATGGTAGCTAGTGGCGGTCATAGGCAGCGGCAGCAGTGGGAGGTGCGGAGCCCCGGGATGTGGCACTATAATAATAAGGGGAACCTGAAAGTTAACACAGGAGAAGAATGGACTGATTGAAAGGACATACAGTAAAATAAAATAAGAAAAAAAGAAAGGAAGAAAAGAAAGAAAGAAAGCATATTAAAAGGAACTGGAAATAGAAATCTGGAAATGAGGATCTCTTTATGGCCTAGATGTAAAATAGAAAAATAACATACACAGTATATATGTAGTATATCATGCACAGGAAGCTAAGTTTCTTGGATTATCTAGTCTAGTGCTTGTCATCAGAGTCCTATTCAAGATATTCCACCTAGAACAGGAGTAAGCAACCTTGGCTCTTTTATGACTCGTGGACTTCAACTCCCAGAATTCCTAAGCCAGCCATGCTGAGGAGAAAGGGAGAGGTTTCCAAGCTGAGTCATGCTGGCTCAGGAATTCTGGGAGTTGAAGTCCACGAGTCATAAAAGAGCCAAGGTTGCCTACCCCTGACCTAGAAGAGGAAAAGAAGAACCTGTCAGCTCTGCTTAGATTCATCTGTGGTCCTGTTAACTACCAGCAACAATTGAATATGTCTAATTTGTTCTTGCCAGCTTGGCTGTTTTTTAAATACTGGAAATTTCTTTTTACTTCGTCATCCCTCTAGAAGCCTGCAAGAGTCGTTAATAAATGGGTGGTCTTAAAAAGCGAGTAAATAAAAATGATTCTTCTCATTTCCAGTAAAATCTCCAAAACCATTCTGGACGATACTCAGTCCTCATGGAGAAATTTAGAAACTTGGAAAGGAAGAAGGGAATCTAACAATATTACCCTTTTTCTAATTCCAGTTGCAGAAGTGCCCACCTTAGCATAAGCATGCAGGAAATATAAGCAATTTTATTATTTGGAATACTTTCCATTCTGAGGAAGTATATGAAGTACTAAAGTACTTTTTTATATATATAAAAAATCTGCCAGATCTGTGCAAAGCAGACTCTCAGTGTATAATATTAAATATTTAGCAAAATCATGCTTAGAACAGATCTGAAAATCAAGCTTAAAAACTGGTGATAGAATTGTTGATTGGGCTGAAGGTATCTCTGAATAAAGTGTAAGTTGTATAAGAATAAATATATAAGAGTCAAGGTGAGACAGATTTATTCAAAGAACTTTGGTAGCTGATTTTAAGAACTGACTTTTATGAAGCTTTAATTTTTTAAATAAATAGAAGGCACACGATATACAAGATTACACATAGGTAATAGCAAGACTGCACTAAATGCAATAGCAGACCATATGACACACAATATATTTTGTTAGTAGGTGTACACAGTCCCAATAATTTTCAAGAGATCTATGCTTTGTGGCTTATACTCTTGAGGTATGCACATAATGGTCACATATTAGCAATTACTATAGAAGTATGATTAACAAAAATAGCTATATCTAATATTAAGAAATATTTATCTATTTTAAACATATACAATTGCCCCTCTTAAATCTGGACAGCTCCCAGTCAGAAATATGTAATTCTTAATTCATTACATTAATGAATTAAGTGGGAAGTGGTCATTTAAACTATCAAGCCCAACCTCCACTGCGAGTGTACTGTGAGGGTGTTCATTAACAATAATGTTTTAAAGATGGGCGAACTGGGAAATAAAGTATTTGCTAATATATCCCAGAAGGACAGCTTTGTTAGATACTTGCAGCAAAAACAAGAATGGATTTTGTGATATCTTAAAAAAAATGAAAGAAGGGGGGGGGACTGGTAAAAGAGTAGATGGGGTGGATAGGATGGACCATAAACAAAACAGTAGTCAGATGTGACATTTTGCACCAATGAGCTAGTTATTGCATGCAGTATCATATGGATATCCTGGTCTCTGTTTAATCTGGGAGAAATGAAGTTAAATCTCATTGCTTTGAGGTGAAATATTTCTTTAGGATGGCCACTTTGAGGTAAGAAATAGTGTATCACGTCTAGATGTTTTTGTTTTGGTGTGTATTTAAACAAATCGGGCAAATGTTTCCATTTTCCTTTCTACAGAAGACTGTGGCACTAGCTTCCTTGACATTTCTTTTATGGTTTGCTCTATGTGGGGTTTTTTTCAGCTTTTTTGTAATTTTTTAAAGAAAAAATATTGCAAATGCTCAATGGTTTTATATAAAGGTGTTAAAATGTTAGCAATTTTATTTCACAACAACTAAGATAAGATTATTTTCCCTCAGTATCCATTACTTTATATGGGTATTATCCAACTTGGTGTGAAACTCAAATTCAGAATAAATCAGAAGAATTCAGAATAGACTCTTGTCTGAAGTAGAGGACAGCTCCAGTATGCCCTGTCCTAATTCAAAATCAGAGGAAACAGCAACCATCCTCTAACACCCCCCACTCCCCCCCCACACAAAAATTGTGGGCAGAATATAAATGTAAACACTTTGCTTAGATCAGGGGTAGGCAACCCTGGCTCTTTTATGACTTCATAAAATATATTATGATCAAGATGTTTTTTTTTAATCTAGGCCAGGGGTAGGCAACCTTGGCTCTTTTATGACTCGTGGACTTCAACTCCCAGAATTCCTGGGCCAGCCATGCTAAGGGGAAAGGGAGAAGTTTCCAAGGTGAGCCATGCTGGCTCAGGAATTCTGGGAGTTGAAGTCCACGAGTCATAAAAGAGCCAAGGTTGCCTACCCCTGACCTACATTAAAAAAAAACATTTTGATGAAAAGGGGAATACTGGACTCAGTGACAGGACTAGCCCAAAGTTAGTTTATTTTTAGTTTTTTGGGTTGGTGGCAGAATCATAATATATTTTAGAGTCCCCAGTAAGATGGAAATAAATAGGAAAAAGAAAGCAAAGAAACAAGTAGAAGGGCAACAGAAAGGGATGGAAAAGGGTAGAGAAAAACCTGAGGGAATACTCACTTAGTAACGCAGGATTGCTGAACCTCCAGGCTTCATTGTAGGTTGTGTATTGAGGGTGGCTGTAAGGATTGCCTGAGAATTCACTCCCTGGAAAGAACACAGGAGGGTGTCATTCATACCACAATTCAGACAGAGAGGAAAGAGAACAAAATTGCATTAGTACCTGACAAGAGAAGAAAAAAGTCATTAGAAGAAACATTGCAGCAAACAGGAAGGTCTTAAGAGTGGATTGGCAAAGGAGACAAAATGGGAAACTGGGAAAAATGAAGCTTAGTCTAATACATAAATGTAATAAAGAGTTTTCAGGTGCAATTTCCTCCGGAATTTCTGTTGGGAATCCTCTAAGAAAGATCACAGCATGTCCAGGGACAAATTGCAGCCAGCAGTGTGGGAAGTTGTAAAAGCTTTCTCCCTTTGAGGTGGTTGAATCTAAGCAGAACTTCCAATAAGGCGGCAAGGGGCACTTTCCCAATAAAAGTCAGGTGGAAGGTTCTTGACAAGGCCCATTTATGTAAAAAGGGGGCTTAAATGCTTCCTTTATTTTTCTATATTGTCACTCAATTTGTTTCTACATTTATTCTGAGGTGCAGGTTAAGTAAAGGACTTCTCACTCACTCTTCCTCTCTCTCCAGGCCAGTCAAGGGAAGGCAGAAGCACCATATGTGCGCAATGTTTATTGACAAGGAGTTAAAAGAAACCGAGCTGCAGGATAATGAGCTTTTGAGCTCAATTGCGACCAAGAGGAACCAGTTATCTCCTTTTGTGATCACTAATGAAACATGTAATTTCCTCATCAACGCTAGATTCTGCTTAACTGCTCTCTTTGGAGAAGGCTAGGGCTGTGACTTGTTCACGGCACTCCTAGACCTTTTGTGTTGAAGCAGAAAATGCTCCAGAAAAAATGCTCCAGAGGAAGAAAGTAGGAAAGGCCAGTTACCCAGTGGGATAAATTGAAAAAGCAAATGCTCCCAGAACATTACAGGCCTGCTCACTTAATCACTTATCTCATTAGCAATAATGCAGAAACAGGTTTTGTATAAGAGTTCCAGTATCTATAAACCAAGAGACAATTAGAATCATAGGTCTGGAAGGAATCTCAGAGGTCTTCTAGTTCAGCCTCCTATTCAACGAGACTTTATAGCAGGGTTCTTCATACTTGGCCCTTTTATGACTTGTGGACTTCAACTCCCAGAATTCCTCAGCCAGCATGCCTGGCTGAGGAATTCTGGGAGTTGAAGTCCACAAGTCATAAAAGGGCCAAGTTTGAAGAGCCCTGCTTTATAGCAACGGTTTCCAACCTTTTGGGCACCAGGGACTGATTCTGTAGAGAGTGTTTTTTCTGAGGGCTGAGGGAGGGCTGGTTCCACACGCTTCTTGCATGTGTGGGATGGGGCTTCACTTGCTTGCGTGATGTAGTTCCTGGTGGGCTGCAGACTGATGCTGGTCTGTGGCCCAGGGATTGAGGAACCCCTGCCTTATACCAACCCAATTAATTAGCTGTTGAGTCTGCATGATTATGGAGCACCCACTATCCCAGGAGGAAAGCTATTTCATTGATTAATTGCACTCATTGTCAGAAAATTTCTCCTTACTTCTAGGTTGAATCTCTCTTTAACAAGCTCCCACCCATTACTTCTTGTCCTGCCCTCTGGTGCCCTAGAGAATAGGTCAATCTCCTATTCTTTGTGTCAGCCCTTCAGGTACTGGAAGATAGCTATCATGTCCCCCCAGTCCTTCTCTTTGGTAGGCTGTACATGCCTAGCTCCCTCATTTGTCATATGATTTAGCCACCAGACCCTTTATCATCTTCTCTGTAAGCTTTCTAGGGTCTCAGTATCTTCTCTATATTGTGGTGACCAGAACTGAGTGCAATACGGCAAGTATGGTCTCAGCAGTGCAGTGTAAAGCAGTTCTATTGTTTTTTTGTTTTGTTTTTTAACTCTATCCTTCTGGTGATACAGCCTAGGACTGCACTGGCTTTTTTGGCAGCTGCAGGACATTGCTGGCTCATACTTAAGTAGTGGTCCACTACAACACCTAGAGTCCTTTCAGTTACTACTGTTGAGCCATTTGGTTTTTCCTGCCTAAGTGCAGGACCTTACTTTTCTGACCACTGAACTGCATCTTGTTGGATAGGCCCAATGCTCAAGTCTGTCAAGATGCTTCTGAATCTTGACCCTATCTTGGTGTCATACGAAAATCTGATAAATTTTGATAAATTTGATAAATTCTCCTTCTATCCCAGTGGTTCTCAACCTTTTTAATGCCGCGACCCCCAACCGGTCGTAAGTCGAGGACTACTCAACTGGTGCAGCACCATTTGCAGAATGGGACTTTTGGCGGGCTGAGCAGGGCAGAGACAGCCTGGACAATTCCTATTGGCTTTGGAAAGCCAATAGAATTAGACTCTATTCAAGAGAGTCTATTCTATTGGCTTTCAAAAGCCAATAGAATAAAAGGGAGTAGCATAGCTAAGTAAAGGGGAAAAAATGGTGGACTGCGTTGTTTGGCGACCCCCATGAAATGGTCGTTCGACCCCAAATGGGGTCCCGACCCACAGGTTGAGAACCACTGTTCTATCCCTCCATTTAATTTATGAAGATTTTGAAGAGTACTAGTCCCAAGACTGGAACTTGAGGTACCCCACTGCATGCTCCCCTCCATGTCGATGTAAGTTCCATTGAGAAGTACCAGCTGAGTGCAGTTTGTCAGCCAATTGCAAATCCCCCTGGTGGTGATACTGCCTATCCCACATTGTTTTATCTTACCAAGAATTAAATTGTGGTCTACCTTGTCCAATGCAGCAAGGTTACTATGTCCACAGCACTTCACTGATCCACTAATTTATAGTTACTTTATCAAAAAAAAAAACAACAACAACCAATAAGGTTTGTCTGGCATCATCTGTTTTTAACAAACCTATGCAGTCTTCTAATAATCATATTTTTTTTTCTAGGTGCTCACAAATCCTCTGCTTAATTTCCAAGATTTTCCCAGATACTGATTGGGCTATAATTTCCTGGATCCATTTTTCCCCTTTTTGTAGACTGGAACCACATCAGTTCTTTTCTAGTCTTCTGGTATTTCCCCGGCGCTACAGGAGTTTTGAAAGATTACATTCAATGGCTCCCAATTGCATCTGCCAGTTCCTTCAGAAGCCTGGGATGTAAACCATCTGATCGAGATGATTTCTATTCATCCAGGGTGGGATAGGTATTCTTTTACTAATTCCTTGCCTATTTTGACTTATATACCTTATTCCATCTCCCTCAGTCCTGCTTTTAATAGGCTGGGCTGTTTCTTCGTTTTGCATAAAAACAGACACAAAGAAGGAAGTAATCAGTTCTGCTTTTTCCCTGCTGCCTTTCATCTTCTTGCCATCTGCTCCCATTCGTGGGCCTATTGTTTCCTAGCCTTTCTTCTTGTTCCTTACATATTGAATGAACTGTTTTAATTATCATTTTTGATATTGGTTGCTAGTTTTAGCTCATTCTGGTCCTTAGCCTTCCTGGCTCCTGCCTTACAGATTTGGGCTGTTTGTTGGTATTCTGCTTTAGTTATATGTCTCTCTTTCCTTTTTTTTTTTTACATTTAACCTTTTGGTCCCTCAATTTGTCAGAGAACTCTTCATGCAACCATGCTGGTCTCATCTGGTCTTTCATTAGGGGATTGCTCTATCAGCTTTTAGTGTTTTTGAGTGAAGGCGTATTGGACACAGAGTAATTTTTAATAACAATACATGTAGAACTTAAGCAACAATAAACAATAAATATTTTTTTTTTCATGCAATAGACCTACCGCATATCACTGGTAACAGGGTGAACTTCATAGTGTCTTTAGACAATTCTCATCACTTTATTTACTCTCTCTCTCTCTTCCAAATTATAAATTTCTAGTTATTTAGATTCAGCCTTGCTGCTTCAAGCTCTCATGGATGTTTTATTCAAATACACAGTGATCTGCCAGCTATCTACCAACCACCAACAGCTATCAAGCAGTCATTTCTCCACTAACATTTGGTGACCGCCTAAGTTATCCAACTATAGTTGTGTTGCTATGGCCTCCATGATATCTGGGTGATGCCAGAAGCTAGCAGTGTCTATGTCTGTGTCCAGAAATATATTTGTTTGTGATCAAACAATGAGCAAATAATGAAGTCGGAGCTGCTTTAGAAGGCTATTTCAAATCTTGTATGCCACCCTTTCTTAAAAAATTTGCCACGTTACACATTTTATGGCAGAGGGCTTGAAGAAAGTGTTCTGTAGTGATTAGCAAGTTCATAACAAGGGATCGCTCTGTGTGTATTGGTAGGGGGAAAAGATACAGTTGAAATATTTTAGATTCAGGGCATTTAGGATTTCAGTTATTTAAACCTACTGATTTATATACCTCAGTGATGGCGAACCTTTTAGAGACCAAGTGCCCAAACTGCAACCCAAAACCCACTTATGCATCGTCGGGTGCCGGGCGGGCGTGGCCCATTGGGCAGGCGTGGCTGCGGTGGTAACAGCAGACTGGGTGGGACTAAAAAGTTCAATCAATTCCAACTTTGCAAAAGCTTTTTTTTCCCGTGAGAAGTTGAAATTGACTGATTGATTGAACCTTTTTTTTGTACATGGCGGCAGAGGTCTAAAGCGAAAATGTTTTATAAAACCCAGCTGAAGGCCTAGGACTGGGATGACAGCGCGCGTGCCCACAGAGAGGGCTCTGAGTGCCACCTCTGGCACCCGTGCCAAAGGTTCGCCACCACTGATATACCCCATCCCTATTATCTGTGCTACTCTTATACATCATACTAATTGCCACTAGAATCTTTAATTATCCCATCCAGTGAAATATTGAAAATATTGGAAGCAGAAGTCCTTGCAATACACTATATATTAAAGACCCAAGGTAGTATGCTACCCATTAGCCCTATCTTTGCCAAATATCATGGTATTGGTGTCCATGATATTGAAAACCATGAAAGGCGGATCCACCAAAAAGAAGGAATTTTGCAACGTAGCCATCCACTTGGCAGCTTTTCTAGAAAGGGGTGCCTCCCACTCAACAGTCCATGCTACTGTTATTGGATATAAGTGAACATGAGAGTCAGGTCTAGTGATTAAGGCACCAGGCTAAAATGCAGGAGACCATGGTTTCTAGTTCTGCCCTAGCCATGAAAGCTGCCTGAATTGGACCAGTCTCTTTCACCCAACTCACCTCATCACCCTATTGTTGTGGGGGAAATAGGAGGATGTGTTGGGTATGTTTGCCACCTTGAGTTATTTCTAAAAAATAACAAAGGCAGGATACAAATAAATAAATAAATGAAACATCCACTCCCAATTTTTCTTGCTCAAGGCTGAGACATATGCATGTGGTCAATCTTGCAAAAGGAGCACAAGGCAGTCCTGGGAGGTCATCTCACTCTATTGATAGAATTATACTTGCAAACAAAATGGATTTCCTTAATACAGTGGAAATCAGAACTGAAAATAAATAGCATTAGGCAAAAAACAACAGCAACCACACAACCCTCTGGAATTGGAGTTGATCAAACTTACTGAAATGCCCTTCCAAGTAAGGCATTTAAAAAAAACAACAACACCTATTTACTTATCTAAATAAAACTGATGGGAAGCAAGGAACCTTACCAGGCACCATTCCTGCAAGAGTTGAGGTTGGGTAACTGCCTTGTCCAGTTGGTGGAACATGTGGTGGGTAGCCAGGCAAAGTTGTGCTGGCCATGTCACGACCTAAGAAGAAAAAAATGAGAAAGAACTGAATAATAATAATAATAATAATAATAATAATAATAATAATAATAATAATGTTGGAAGGGACCTTGGAGGTCATCTAGTCCAACCACCTGCTCAGGCAGGAAACCCTATACCTTTTCAGACAAATGGCTTTTTGTTAGATAGCCCCCAGTGTTTAAGTCTATCCAGATCCTCCTGTATCCTAAGCCTGTCTTCTAGAGTGTTGGCTATTCCTGCCAGCTTGGTGTCATCTGCAAATCTGATGAGTTCCCCATCTATCCCCTCGTCCAGATTGTTGATGAAGATGTTGAAGAGCACTGGGCCCAGAACAGAGCCCTGGGGCATCCCACTACACACTTCCCTCCATGTAGATGCGGTTCCATTGAGGACCACATGCTGAGTACGGCTGGTCAGCCAGCTACAGATCCATTTGGTGGTGATGCTGTCTAACCCACATTTTTCTATCTTATCAAGTAGAATATCCTACTTTGTTACCTCTACCCTAAAACTACTCATTCTAATCTTTAGTGCTCAATCTATGACGTATTTTGGTTCCTCCAGGCATTTTTAAATTTATCCCTTTTTATTAAATCTGCAAAAACAGACAAAGGGATACTTTTACTTTTGTCCGTTTTTGCAAATTTAATAAAAGGGGATACATTAAAAAAAATATCTGGAGGAACCCAAAGTTCAATAGACTACGAATGTTATATATGGCGATATAATTTGGTATATAATTATTCAGTATTTTGGTCAAAGCTTTTTTTTTAAAAAAAAAAGTTGGAAAAAAAGTCTTGACACCCTTTTATCATGAATGGTGAGGTTTGTTTACTACTTATATTTCCTTACACTACCTATAGTATCTTATTCAGCATAAGAAATTCTTTCTGTTTTATGGATAACGTATAGATTACACAAAAGCATTTGAGAACAAAATGTATCTTTTGTTAGTACTTAAAGAGACATAGATTATTTACTTTTAATTACTGTATATATGATGGGGGTTAAATAATATTCAAGTATATTAAGAGCATCACAGAAGTCTCCTGCTTTTAATACATGTAATATGATTTTCACTAGGTCTCCAAACAAATTTAAACCTCAGTCAAGAAAGATGACTTCAGCAATATTCCCACACTGTAGGTTAAGCCGAAGGAATAAATCACTTAAAATCCATAGAAATCCTACCGCTAGAATCCTAGAGTTAAAAACTTTGGCCACAAAGCCCAACTTCCTGCTCAATGCAGAAATGCAGATTAGAGTTCCCCCACTGAACCTCTGCTTTAATCTATCCAGCACAGAGGTAATTGGCTCAACTTTTAAGTGAGCTACTGTACATTTTAAGTGGTTGGCACTAAGTTTGGGTTATTTCTTGCAACACGTAAACGGTGATTATAAGATGACAATAAAAAAGAAGCCCACATCATGTTATATGAATGAGGCCATCAAGTTAAACTCTGGGCACAGGTAGTCCTTGACTTACGACCGCAATTGAGCCCAAAATTTCTGTTGCTAAGTGAAACATTTGCTAAGTGAATTTTGCCCCATTTTACGACCTCTCTTGTCACAGTTGTTAAATTAGTAACACGGCTGTTAAGTGAATCTGGTTTCCCCATTGACTTTGCTTGTCAGAAGGTTGCTGAAGCTGATCCATAATCCAGAGGCACTGCAAATATCGTAAATAAGATGCCTAGAAAGCCTAAAACAAAATATAAAAGGAGCAGCGTAGCTTAAAGTTGTTTTTAGCCGCCAATTTTAAAGAAGCATTTTTCTTCCTTTTATAACACAAGTTCTGCAACGGAAACAATTTTGCTTACTTCACTGACAATGCGGTTGATGATGTGGTTAGGACCTGAACTATATCTAGCTCCTCTTGACCACTTTAGACTGTTAATGGGTACACCATTCCTCTCCAGTCACTGGGTGCTAATGGCCATATTTGTCTTTTTTTTTTTTTTTTTTTTTGGAGAAAGAGATCAGAGAGGCTGTCCTGCAGTGTCCAAAAGCCTTTCTGAAGGGCTGGTTAAACCTTCTACAAGCTACTTATATACACAATTGCTCTTTTAAAAGAGTGCTAAACCTGTATCCAAAATTAGTCTGGTTGCCAGATCAAGAGAACTTCATTCTCTGCCAGCTTCAGCCCGTGCTCTTCCTGCTTGCCAGCACTCTCTTAGCTGTAGTATCTTTGGACATGATCAAAAGTGCTCTAGACCATGTTCAAATATATCTCAATGAAAAGTTGCAGCTACAGAGCATCTGCTATTCAAAGCACTTACAGTTGCGGCCAAAATTGTGGAAACCTTTTGGGAAAAGTGTACAGTAGAAATGCCACCTTTGGTTAAGTTTCCACCCATTTTTCTTCTAATTTCTTTATAACTGTAGCCTTGTTCACTTCATAATACTGTTTTACATTGCTTTCTGGATGACCAGTCAACTCTTTGCACCATTATTTTACTTTTATTACATTTTACAAGCTCACTAAATGAAAGAACACAAAAAAACCCAACTGACTTGATAGCGATCACATAACACACTGACAAATGTCCTCCTCTCAGCTTCAATACATGAACATCAATAACTGAATCCTACTGTGATCTGATTGGCTTGTTGCCAAAACAAGATGACACCTGATTGGCTCTCTAAACACTCGTGCTCATTGGCTACCATCAGGTGAAGGAAAGCTACCTGATATCAACCTAAGCAAGTTGTGCTTCCTTTTTCTGGTTATTTGGCTATAACCTTTCATAGAATAAAGTACAGATAATTGAAAAAACTATGTTGCATTACATTCTTGCTTAAATTGTCTTTCCATTGATATATAATTTTATGGTACTACTCCAAAAACTAAGTGGTGTTATTAGCCATCAAACCTCAAAAATACACTTTTCCCAAAAGGTTTCCACAATTTTGGCCATTACTGTATTTTTGACCAACCCCATTTCACCCAATCACTGTGGTTGTTTTTCCATGAGAGAGGAAGCAGCAGTAGAATCTAGTAATCATTCACCTTGACTTTCTTACATGAAAACTTTAAGAAATATATTATTTTCTAGCCTCATTTTTCTAGGCAGAATAGAGTTTGGCCCTCAGACCAAATTTGCTGGCCAGCAAATTTTATGCCAACATTTCTTTTTAAGTTAAGGAGTGGGGGGCTGTAGTTCAGTGAGGTTGTCTGGCTGTATCCTCAGTTATGCAGATGTAGTAGAATAATAACAGATCGCATTGTGAGTCATTCTAGATGAGAAGGTGCCTTTTAGTTCCTTGTTTGTTTGTTTATTTATGTCTATTATGTGTATCCTCAACAGAGACCAAGACAATTTAGGATACATATCCATCAAGAAAAAAGGGGGGATTTTATTCAAGAGGTGGGGTCAGAAAATCCTCAATTCTGAGATTTCATTCTAAAAAGATGGTTGTAAATTTAATATTAAAAATACTCAAAAACAAGCAGAAAACTATCCAGTATAATTCAGTTAAATGATATTTTGAAAATATATTTTAAATCTATTTTATTTTTGTATCTTTTAAATTGGATCAAGTCAGACTTTTCCAACTCCAGTTCTTTTGCTTTACAGAAACTTGGCTAAATGAAACAACAGAAGATAGTAGTCTGCAACGCCCAGGATTTCAGTTTCAAAGAGCAGATCGAAACATCTGTAGAAACATCCAGGGTGGAAAGAGAGTGGGAGGGTAACTGCTTCTATGTTAATAACCACTGATGCAATGATGTTACTTAGAAGTGGACATGTGGACTTAGAAACACAATTCATCAATTGCAAATCCTTTTATGCCCCACGAGGGCTCTTTTCATGCATCTTAGTTGGGATTTATATACAGAGAATGAGGTGGCTAGCTGGAGTCACTGAAGCAGTAGGCATGAGCTTAAATCAGTGGTTCTCAACCTGTGGGTCGGGACCCCATTTGGGGTCGAACGACCATTTCATGGGGGTCGCCAAACAAGGCTGTCCGCCATTTTTTCCCCCTTTTCTTTGGCCATGCCCCTGGCACTCGGTGATGTATAAGTGGTTGGGGATCACCACAACATGGGGAACTGTATTATGGGGTCACGGCATTAGAAAGGTTGAGAACCACTGGCTTAAATGGACTCCAGAAGATGGTAGAAGACAGAAAGGCCTGGAGGAATGTTGTCCATGGGGTCATGATGGTTCAGACATGCCTTTGCAACTAATAACAACAAAATATACCACCTCATGCTTGCATAAACAGTGCATTGCAAACCCTAGCTGATCAAATCTTGTGTACAGAAGAGAGATATCCAAACTCACTACTCATTTTAGGGGATTTTAACAGTGCTAATCTAAGTCAGGGGTTGCCCAGATACACTCAGAATGTCACCTGTCTCACTAGAGAAAAAAACATTTTAGAGTAAAAATATTACTCTACATTAAAAGATCCTTATCACTCTCTTCCAAGAGCAGCTGTGGGCCACTCTGATCATCACATGATTCACATTGTACCCGCTTAAAGACAAAAACTTACAACTGTAAAACCTGTAGTCAAAACAATGAAGTCTTGACAAAGTTGGAGTTACAGGCTTGCCTTGACTGAACAAAATTGGAACGTTTTTGAAGCTGCTTCAGTGGACTTTGAGGAACCCACTGATACTGATACTGGGACATCACATGCTAGTTTTTGTGAGGACCAAGAGCTTGTGCATATACAGCAATAATAAATCCCTGGTTCACAGTTAAGCTCAAGCAGCTTCGTTGTGCCAAAGAAGAAGCCTACAGGAATGGAGATAGGATGCTGTACCATCAGGCAAGGAACGTATTAACAAGGGAGATCAGGGCAGCAAAGAGAAGCTACTTCGAAAAGCAGAGGAATCTGTTCTCAACAAAGGATCCAGCAAACCTATTGAAAAGCCTGAAGAATATCATTGGCTATAGCAGATCTCCCTCTCTTACTGAAGAGCAGTGCTTTTTTTCTTTAAAAAAAAAAAAAAAGGTGCTGGAACTCACACACGTCATACAACCCGC